TTTATTCGTCCAGGAACTTGCACGTTTGGCGGAGTCCTCGTTTTTCCCCCAATCGTAGTGTACAGTTTTTAAAAACATTTTATAGTCACATCCTTTATGTACCCAAATGCATGTCCGGCTCTTCCGAACACACTTATCTCGCCCCAACTAGAAAAGGACCGGTTTTCTTGTACACTTCAAATCGAAAACGTTACTTATCAATTTCTCACCGGAACCTGTAGGTTCCGCGGAACACCACTTGGGAATCACTGAGTAATACTACGGTATGCACGGTCGGCGGTATGTGGTCGTATCCGTCGAATTGACCCCGCGTATGAGTGCGCTCGATGTACCGCGAAAAATTCCCTTAATTCTCCACGTTTCACCGTAATAGCGATCCTGTTCGGCCGAAATGCCTGGACGAGTGCGTTTTTCGAAAACACGCGTGTCGTTCGTTTAGCATTAGCGTAGTTCTCTATTTACTGTAGGCGCGTAGTCGAAGATTTCGTCTTGCAGCGCCCCGCGGCATCGTCGGTGCAACGCTGCGATTTACGATTTTCATTCGGAAACCAGTTTACCCCCGGGAACGGCGATCGCGTCACGTGCATACATCCAAGTATCGATATTTACGATTAAAAATATTATCATTACCATTCCTATGTACGCGCGTTTTCTTCTATTATTCCGCTGCGGTGCTATGAAAACATGTACACACACGACCATCTCCTTCTCTCTCTCACTCTCTCTCTCTCTCTTTCACTCTCACGTATATCCACATCATTCTCACCTACCAAAAGATCACATTTTCGAATACCTTCGACAATTCACTTACATACATGTGTATACCAAGCAATATTATGATGTAAAAATCGATTAGCCTCCATACAAGCGCACCCGGAACTGCAGCTCGCGTCTGGTCACGAGCTCTTCTCTTTTCGACCGTTGAGAAGAAAAAACACCCGGTAATTATTATTATTAACACGTTTGTTCATAATTAATAATCCGGAGCTATTAAAACACCGCCGCGGTACATTATATATATATATATATATATATATATTATAATGCGAAACGGTTTCTGTAGATTTAATTCTTTTCCGCGGCACTACGGACATTGCGCCCCCTCCCACACCGAACCGTTACGAGAAAAACAAAACGCGTTCGCTGCAGCTGAGAATGTAATAAAACACGCCGTGTGTGTGTGTGTTATTATCACTACAGTGTACGCGGTCGTACAGCTGTCGGACGCGCGCTTATAAACGCCAAATCACGCTATAAAATTATTGGGTTGTACGTAATATTATGTATAAAACGGTGCGGCGTTATCGTGGGTACGTTTTCGATTTTCGACGGAACGTGTGAAAGCGTGTTTCTGTCGGAAAATCACTTATTAAAAGAGAAAGTTTGCATTTTAAAGCTACAACGCAATATCAATTTATGGGAACCAATAAAACGTCACTGAAACGGAGGATAGGTACTAATAATAATTGATGTACAAGTTGCGCACGTAGATTATAATGTTCATTGTACGTGCCGTTATTGTATCTAGGATTGTCGCGGTCTTACGGAAAAAAAAAAAAAACAGTTCGCGAAGCCAATAAACGATGTTTTTTCGATTCGTTTACGCTTCGATTGCGTCTGTTGGTTTGGTCGTGTACCTTTCTGTTCTCTTGAAAATATTATGGGCGGATCGGGTACACGTCGATGCGATCGCGAAATAGCTTTCTATTCGAAACAAAGTGAATTCGTGGCACGACGTGCATATCATGAAAATAAGGTTTAAACGGAAATAAATGTAAACGATACGCGTGTACGATTTTAGCAAATATCTGCTGCAGGATCGTGCGATCGAGTGTTGTAGAATTAAAATATAAAACAAAATATAAATAATAAAAATAGAGAATCACGCGATTTCAGACATTTAATAATAACCTTAATACCTACGTATATGTACACGTATTGAGTATAATAATATCATGTTTGGTGACGGCGATTATTTCTAGCTACCGCGGTTACGTCCGTGTTTTCAGTTTGGAATTTGCATACTATATTTACCCGGCGGATCATCTACAAAAACATAAACGTGGTTTAGAAAAAATATAGTAATATATATGATAATCACGTGATTTTCAAATCGGATTGTTGTAACGAGGCGTATATTTATCGAACGAAAAAAAAAAAAAAAACGGTTTTTTTCGATCGGATAACACGTTGAACACGAACAACGTTAACCGCTGCGATTCCGTTTCGGTTATAGTTTTTAAATCAACAACATCATTCACGGCCGCGACCGTTGTTCGGTAAAACTTAATATTACCCCGTCGTGTTAGATATAGGTTTTTCTTTTTCAAACCCTTATTCCATGTGCAGTGTTTTTCGAGCGCACGCGTATCTCGATAGCGCGGATCCTAACTTCCGATTTCCGCGAGTATTGTGATCCGCTCCGGCAGACTGGTCCCAAGTCCACCCACAAGCCCACGGAAATTAGTTACTTACATTTACCGCATACATTGCTTACACCAGCGTGCACGTCAGAGGTTTACCGTGAGCGAGTCGCCTCCTCCGTGACGCCGCGGGGTCAGAACACCGCGGCAGAGGGATAGAGAGAGATGAACGCGTGCGTTCACGTGTTGCCGCGACTTTAGGGCAACGAACGGGTGAAGGGCTCTCGGAGAGTTAGAAATGTTTTTCACGCGCGCACGGTCGGCGGCGTCGTGCAAGACGCGTAATACGTATCATTATAACGTAATGCAATAGTATTACGGTGAAACACTGCGCGTCCACACGTGTACATTATATAGGCGTGTAACGGTGCGGTGCGTTACCGGGGGGGTCGCGGCGACCGGCAGCAGAGGCGAAAACATCGAAGGTGAAAAATCCACGAAATTATAAATTATCGTACCGGGAGTTGCGCGCGCGCGCTCGCGCGAAATCTTATGGTTTTTTAAACGAAGGGCGTGAGCGGTTTCGCGATACGTGTGTGTGCGTGTGTGCGTGCGTGCGTGCGTGCGTGCGTGCGTGCGTGTGAATAATCTATAAACGTTGCAGCCGCAGTAGTACTCGATCCGTTCGCACACACGCGCAAACCGTCGAACGGTATATTAAAAACTCTGTTATAAAACCGAAAAACAATAATTATTCACTATAAATACTACGTTGGCCCGCCTATGATGTTTTTCTATTGCTACTCCTAGCATATATTTTCATCGTCGGCACGCCGAAAACACGTGGACGATGCGATAAATATTCGCTGCCGCTGCAGAAGCCGCTGCGCACATAGCGCGTTATCGTCACGCGTTTTTTTTTTTCTTCGGTTCTTTCCCAATACCGTCTCCGCGCCGCGTTCCGGTGTCCTTGTTCGGTTGATTATTATTATGCGTACGCGCCGTCGTCTATAATGCTTATTTGTGTAGAACGTTTGCGGCTTGGGTACCTTTTTTTTCCCAGTTCTGCGCGAATTGAGTTATTATACATTTCGTCGGATAACACCACGCGCGCGCGATAAATATTATTATCCATCACCCGGATCGTGTCTCTCGATCCTGTATCGTGTCTGTGTACGAGTAGATCTTCGTGCGATTGGTGGTATACCGCTGCAGCGCAGCACAATATTTTATGGTATTATTGTAAATTCGTCGAAACGTCTTCGTTGCTGTCCTTTTGCGTTTAAAATGATGAATATTTCGTCTACCGCCGCGTATACGTACAAAGTGAAAAGAAAATATTTGTGGGAAACTTACGGACGCTTATGTACAGCTATTGTGCACGTGTACGTATAGATAATAATCGTACGACGTGTATAAAACGCATGTAACGTATGTGACAAGTGTGAAGTTAGAAACATGAAAGCGATCTTCGATTTCATTGTTATTGTTGTTGTAGTTGTAGTTGCCCTTGTCATTTCCGTCATCATTTCTTATCTCGCGTCACAACTTTTTCTTTCACTCTTGCTCTCGTGATCTGTTCACGGACGAAAAATATTTTCGGACTTGACCCGCAGCCGGTCCGTACAATCATATTTTTCTGACAGACCCTTTTTTTTGTTGGTTATTCTCTCTTTATTCCCCTGTGTTCAACGTCCGATCGGATCGAGTACAACCCTCACCATATTACGGCGCGTTATTCGGTCAACACACCCCGAGGTACTACAGAGTAAAACATATCTTCAGCGGTCGTGGTTGTGGCCTTATTAATGTACAAGCAAACAAATCGTAGGTCCTACTGCGTTCAGAATGGCTAAATAATGAATTTTTTACCGTCCGTCGTCTCTGCTAAGCCTTATTTTCCGTGTTCATTGTATTCACCTGCGTTAACGTCCACGTTGTTTTTACACCCTTGTCGTCGATTTACTCACCGAAATCGAATTAAACGTTGGGATTAATCGAAAGGGAAATGAACCCTTTGAAAAAATAAATAGCCATCAGCACACGGGCCCCCCCCGTTTAAACCAGAGTATGTTACGCATTTAAATAAAAACATGACGTAGGGCGTGTGACTGCGGACTCGCGCGTTCGGTCACCGTCAACGACATAAACAATGCCGATGGCGATAAATAACCATTGGATTTATACTCGGTGCATTAAGGTATTTCATTTACAATCGTATAACGACGTGAATATACCGACGTCGAGGAGTGAGAGCGGTCGTAAACTTGTCGGCGACGAAAAATCAGTAAATATATCAGTACACGGACAACGTGAATACTTGTGCCGTGTATCATTATTATGATGATGTATGTATTATCTCATACTTCATCCCTAGAAAATAATACCGTTATGTATCAAATGGATGAAAAAAATGATAATTTAAAAAAAACCTCAACCGTGACGTATTGGAGTTACTACACACAAAGAACTAAAATTAATCTAACCCTGACTAGACGTAACAGTAAAACCGGAAATCTCTCGCGGAGAAAAATCGCTTACCTATGATCCCTCCCTCCCCGTTTTACAATGTTGGAAAAATGTGTTTTTTTTTTGAATATATTTTAACCGACGACTTTACTTTTTATGTTTCACAGAAGTGGCCAGCGATGCGGTGGTTTTAACGCGATGGCAATGGGCCTGCCGCTATGGTTGTGGCTGTTGGCGGCAGTGGCCGCGGCAGCAGCCGTGGCCGGCGAACACGAGCGGCACCTGGACGTGTCGGAGTCGGCGCCCGTGGGCACGCGGATCGGTTTCATCGGTGACGGGTCCAAAGACAGCGGTCCACCGTACCTGATCGTGCCAGTGCCGGGCAGCGCGGTGGACACGGATCTGGTGGCCGATCAGAATACGGGCGAGATCAGGACACGCGTACCGCTGGACCGGGAGACGCGAGCGTCGTACACGCTGGTGGCCATACCGCTGAGCGGCGACAACGTGCGCGTGGTGGTGCGCGTGGTGGACGAGAACGACAACGCGCCCACGTTCCCGAGCGCGAGCATGCACGTGGAGTTCCCGGAGAACACGCCGCGGGACACGAAGCGCGCGCTGAACCCGGCCAAGGACCAGGACCTGGGCGCGTACAACACGCAGCGGTACGCGATCGCGGCGGGTAACGCGAACAACGCGTTCAGGCTGTCGTCGCACCGGGAGAAGGACGGCGTGCTCTACCTGGACCTGCAGATCAACGGGCAGCTGGACAGGGAGGCCACGGCCGCGTACCAGCTGGTGGTGGAGGCGTACGACGGCGGCGTTCCGCCGCTCAAGGGCACCATGACGGTGAACGTGACGGTGCTGGACGTGAACGACAACCAGCCGGCGTTCAACCAGAGCCGGTACTACGCGACGGTGCCGGAGAACGCGACCGTGTCCACCAGCATACTGCGGGTGCACGCGACCGACGTGGACGACGGCGACAACGGCGTGGTCGAGTACTCCATCAACAGGCGGATGAGCGACCGGGACGGGTACTTCGCCGTGGATCGGCACACCGGCGTCATCACGGTGAACAGGCCGCTGGACTACGAGACGCGCGACGTGCACGAGCTGGTGGTGGTGGCCAAGGACCGCGGCGACCAGCCGCTGGAGACCACGGCGTTCGTGACGGTGCGCGTGGTCGACGTGAACGACAACCAGCCGGACATCAACGTGATATTCCTGAGCGACGACGCGACGCCCAAGATCTCGGAGCGCGCGCAACCGGGCGAGTTCGTGGCGCGCATCTCGGTGCACGACCCGGACTCCAAGGAGGAGTACTCGGACGTGAACGTGACGCTGCACGGCGGCGACGGCCATTTCGGGCTGACCACGCAGGACAACATCATCTATCTGGTGATCGTGGCGCTGCCGCTGGACAGGGAGTCGCGGCCCAACTACACGCTGAGCGTGATCGCCACGGACGCGGGCAGCCCGCCGTTGCACGCGTCCAAGACGTTCCACCTGGTGGTCACGGACGTCAACGACAACCGGCCCGAGTTCGCCGCGCCCGAGTATTGGGCCAGCGTTTCGGAGACCGCGGAGCCGGGCACGTCCGTCACCCGCGTCACGGCCACCGACAACGACGTGGGCGACAACGCCGTGGTCACGTACAGGATGCGCGAGCCGTCGCCCCAATGGTTCCACGTCGACCCGCAGACCGGCGTCGTGGTGACGCGCGACCGTCTGGACTGCGAGCGCGACCCCGAGCCCACGTTCGTCGTGCTGGCCGTCGACAACGGCCGGCCGCAACAGCTGACCGGCAGCGCTACGGTGCACGTGACCATACACGACCTCAACGACAACGAGCCCATATTCGACCAGAGCTTCTACAACGTGCAGGTGTCCGAGGACAGAGCCGTCGGATCGTGTGTGCTAAAGGTACGTGAGAACCCAACCGTATTTGTACGCAATTTACTGTCGACGCTGTAGACAACGCGAGTGTACCACCCGTACGTACACGTTAGGATATTATTGTACGGTTAAGATATATTTGTCGTGGTGGTCTCGTTGATATTTGAGATCTTTTGGTCTTGAACCGAAACAACCGTGTACCTAATTATTGTTCGAAGGCAGATAGATTTAACCGATTGTTCTAGTGTCCATATCTGGACGAGTAGCCGGTTTCACGAATACGTGTAGGTTTTGTTTTTTATCGTTTCCGAGTGGAACTGTAAAGATGTATTTTTAACTTTCCAACAGTCAACGTGCTTCACCAAGCGTAAGTTCGTCACTTCGCACTCGGTTTCGATTATTTCGCGTTCGGTCATTTCCTCGCACACCTATTGTTTTCTTCCAACGCGCGCGCGTCCGCTTGATGATACATTCGATTGCTTAGTTCGGTGTTTCGAACATCATCGACTGCGATTCGACAACAGCGAACGTGTAACAATAATAATTTAATATAATATCGTCGAGATCTCGATTACGCGGGACGATCGCAAACGAGTAGTAGTGTGGCCGCGGTGACGGCGTTATTGGTCGTAAATAACTTGGCGAAACAACAGCGCGATCGCCGCGTGCGCCGTGTCGAATTTAAACTTTAACGACACACTTGATCAACGGACGACTGCCGATTGTTGTTCCCTATTAATATTGTTATTATCGTCGTAACCCGTTTCTCGTCGTCGGTTTTTCGAGATTTATGTTCGCGCTCACTTTGTACCTACATGAACGTACCTATTGTGTACGCAGTCGAATCCAACGATAATAATAATAAAAAACGCGCGCGTTTATAAATGTTTGTACGCATAATGGTGCCGAGTTTTAACCAATTTAATTAAACCGTAATCGACCGTGCCTTATCGCCGCTGTTATAACTTAACTCGGCAAACAATGTGCTCGCACAATTCTGCGCCCCCTCCCGGGCTTTATCTACGCATCCAGACCCGAGACGGTCCCCCGGCCCGTTGGTATATTTTGCCACCGTCGTTGTACGCATTTACGCTGTTTACCGCACACCATTATATTACCCACGTGGCGGCGGCGACTTACCGTTCATAAGATTTATCAAACGCCGCGGCCTATCCGTATCTTGCGGTAGCCCTCGTCCCGCACCGATACGGGATATATCGTTATTATTATTATTATTATTATTATTATTGAACACGTCGGCGATATTTCGCGGGGACGTCGGTCGGTGCGCGTATTATATACACAATCACGTCGGTCGATCGCGATCATAAATCGCAACCGTATATACTACAACGGTGGAAAGAATAATAAACGCGCGCGTGGTCCAGGATTTAATGTTATCCTTAAAGGTATACATCGTCGACGTTGATGTAGTGCGCGCCGCGTCCATTAAGTCGGCGGCACGGACACGCGCGCCCGTTCGTCGAAGCTCCTACCGGAGAGCTTCGGCCGGGTCCCATTGTCGGCGCTCGACGAGTACTCTCCGTCTCTCCTCTGCCCCAGCATCCGGAGCCCGTCGTCGTTTACATGGAATTTTAATGGAAGCATAATACTCAAACACGCGTAGGTATATCTATGGTACACGGATAGATGTGCCGCGGGGATAAAATGTGTTTTGCCACCGACGGTATAACTTACACGCGCACATATATATTATACGGACTCGATAAGACGGTAACCTATGTGTGTGCATATATGTATATTTTCGCTGCGCCGAGGGTGACCGGTGCGCGGTGCCCATTGAAACGTCGTCGTCCTCCGCCCGATAACGGCCTACCGAAAACGCCCACGCCGGTAAATCATCGTCGTCTGTACACCCCGTTCGCCGGTGTACAAAAATATAATATATTACGCGCGCTCGCGTTTTTATTTTAAAACCAATCCACCGGTGGACGTTTTTCGGATCACCGGACGGTATCGACCGTGATATCACCTGCAGGTCTTCCTTCCCGCCGTATAAGTCTCATCGTCGTCGTTATTACCGTCGCGTGTTCACCGCGATCTTCTCCGATATCGCGCGCATGTGCGTGTGTGTTCGCAAAGTGTGGGCGACCCGTCGCGTTATCTGGCGTACATAAATCACGCGGACGCGTACGCTCGTTAAACGCTGTTTCGCCGCGACGTCGTCGTAGTAAATCCATTTCGGCGTACGGCGAAACGTCATAACGCGGCACGTTCGCCGGACATTAATCGAATAACGTTCGACTAGCGTTGATACGGCAAACGGACATTTTGATTTTGACATTTTTTCGGTTCAAACCGTCCGGCGATGTTGCTCTTAAAACTTTTAAACGCGTTTGGAAAGCCCGCATGCCTTGGCGCTGAACCGTAAACAAAATTCAAACTTTCCCTGCAGGCGAGGATCGTTCGTTTCCGGCGAACCGGATAATTTTTTTTTTTAAATATTTTTTTTTTACCCGTCGCACTCGATCGACATTTGTTAAAATGTTAGTTTTAGGCAAGTTTCCAGCCAGCGCCCCGCGGGTACGGTATCCGCAGTACAATTTGTCACGGGGCCAACTCAAACGCCGCTGCCCGCCAGAGACAGGTTCTCGAATCGAGTACAGGTTTCCTCGTTCGCACGGTGTACACATCATTTTTTCCCTCCGTCTCGCTCCGTACTTCAACCGCGTCACTCACGAAACACACCCGTTCGCCCGAACCACCGATCTACATGGTCTCGTTCCTCACCGTGTCCGGGGTCGACCGCTTGGAAAGTCCAAAGTTCACGTTTACCGCAACGTCACGGCGCGTTACCAGTCCAGAGAGACCGTGGTATTTTCGAGATGTGCGCGTGTACATAAACGTATAAAATAATTGCGGCGACGACATTTCTCTACGGTCGGCGTCGTTCCGCGGGCGCGCGATACAACAGCAGCTCCCCCCTCTCCCCCCCCCCCCCCCGGGGGCGCTCCGGAGACTCGTTTTCAACAAGACCGTTTCGTCGGGTTTACGTCCTGCATCACGAGCGCGCGCATTGTAAGAGCCGCTATAATGCGTACACGCGCGTGTACGGGGGACTAGTGGCGGTCGCGCAAAAGCGTAACATGTATACGCGTACGATCGTGACTGACTTCGGAATTCTATTGCGTTTCGCCGTACCGTCGTGTAGGTTACGACGTACGTATTTATTATGCGCGTTTGTACGTACCCGTATTATACATACGCGTACCACCGTCCTGCATGATACAATATGTTTTTTCGTACTGCACACGTACACGGACACGACGGTGCTGGTACATGTCGGCGTCGGGCGGTACGCGCGTACGCCCCGGTCCCGGAAAGACGCGCGAACGCGAGGGTTCGGGGTGAACCCGGACACTTCGGACTGCGGCGAGCGTGAAACGAGGCGGTCTATTTGCCGCCGAGGTGTCGGATGTGTTGTATGTGGCACGTGCCACTAATAAAAATAGACGAAATATAAATTATTTTAGCTAAATGTTTAAATCGCGTAATATTAGGCCGACGAAGCAAATGAGCTGAGGCAGCGCCTTGTAAAATAATATTTAAGGACGTAAGCAACACAGTAGGGCGACAGTGCGGGTTTCGAACGAGAGACGGATATGCATTGTAAGCGATTGATAGAGACCCGTTAATTTGTGTGTTCGTTTTGTGTTTAACAAAGTCATACAAAATTGTGTATTTAATTGTTCATCGATCTTTTTGTGTACCGTCGAAGGATAGGTATGCCACAGATGTGTGTTGACCGACGTAATATATACGTTTGTTACACGACCGCGCTGCGGTGTTTCGTGCGATCCTCTTTTGGCACGTTAACAAACGCGAATCCCGTTCGACGTGCACCACGTGTACAACGTGTACTGCATGATATATCATCGTATCACGGGTGAGAGTAGCGGACGCGCGTGTGGGAAAAACTGCTAAAAGAAAACGCCCGCCGGTCCGGCGAACGGTGCGTTACATCTATTATTATCACGGTAGTCGCTGTTGTGTGATAACTAGTAGTCGCGGTCTCCTCCGGTGTGTGTCGCATGCGTAGTGCCGCGTTCCACGCGACTTGTCCGCCGCGATAAAATTGTGTCGGAAACGACGACGGCACGCGATTCAAACAGACGCGCTTTGTACGTGTGTTGTACCCCCACCCCACCCCCACCCCACAACGTACGTATGATACCGTTCGCGCGTAATAATATCGACGATCGCCGCCGCGCTTGTTCGGCGACCGGATGAACCGTTCAATTAAAAATAAAAGTAGTAGTGAAAATACTCCGATAATAAAACAAACCATCCGGCTGTAGCGTAATCCCCTTTGACCACCCAACCGGTACAACTGTCGGTGATTGTCATCGTAATTTATCGACATACCGCGGTGACCGCATACTGTGCGTGCGTGCGCGCGCGCGCGCTCGTCCGGGTCCTTATAGGTTATTTGTAGGCAACGTGCGAAGGAATAACAAAAATCGAAACATTCTATTTAACGTTTAATTACGATTGGGAACGGGCGAAGTAGGCAAAAACCGCCGTTTGTAATGATATATTATTATTATTATTACTGTTGATCGGGCGGAAAACTTTTTTTACACACGTGCCGAATGTACGCGAGATCCTTGGTATTCGCGCGACAAACCGAACTGGTACGTCGTGTACACTATAGTTTTTCCCGGGTCGTTTCGTCGCGCATAGACTGTGTGAACGAGAGGAAAAATGTTTAACGTTATCGTTAAACACGGCGTATAACGATAACATTATCCTTACAATTTTACCTTGGTGTTGATAACAATAATACGTAGTACGGGCGTGGGCACTTGCCGTGCGCGCATGAGTGTGAGCTGCTGTTGTTGCGGCGTGCGCGACGCACGTATTTGCGCAAACGGTATACATTATTCGATCGGAAAATCGTGTCGTGGGTTTTATGATATTATTGCGATTCGTACCAGTAACGTAACAATATTAAAACGGCGAGATACAACACGCGGCCGCAGCAGTGACTTCTCCTCGTCCGCCGGTCGCCAACACTACGCGTATACATAATACGTGTAATAAATGCCTACACGTTT